AATATGGTTGTGTTTCTCATAAGGCACTCAAGCCAATACAATATGGTATATCATGGTGGGGTATGGTAGCAGTCAGTCCAGGTAACGACATTAAGGGAGGTGGATTGTATGTGCACAGACTAATCAGGCAGATTGATCTTCCTCCCAATAATGGGTAGCGCTCACCCACGAGTTCCCCTATATCCTGCACAGCTAGGCAACACACATTTTCAGACTTCCATTCAGAGTCAGTAACCAGTCCAAGAGCTTGTGTTTGTTGTTTTACTTAGGGGATAAACAACTTGGATATGGTTTAGTGGCAGGGGCGGACTGACCATTTGGAAACTCGGGCACTGCCCGAGGGCCTGGGGGTCAGTAGGGGGCCCCATGAGATGCCCCTGGTACCTTTTTCATAGGCTTTTTTGAGTTTGGGCAAGGACACAGGGGCCCCATGATCCCCTATTGCCCGGGGGCCCCATGAGTTGTCAGTCCGCCCCTGTTTAGGGGTATATGGGATGCCCAACTCTGAGGATGAACTTCCTAAATTCTGTACAAAAAAGGTAGAGCCTGAACTTTCTACTCCAGCTGGAGTGCCTCAGTTTCATAAGGAATCAATAGCACGGTCTCTGTGAGGAACACCTGGACCCCTCTAAGTTAACTCTCTTTAGACCACAGTTAGGAAATGCCTATGCACCTGACTGTCTTTTGAAGAGCACCCTGGAGCACAATATTCCAAGACAGGCATGCAGCACTGTCCCAGGGAGAACTGGTTAAGTATTGCTCCCAACAGCCCTACAGCCCTCTGCCCTGTAGGCCCCAGGGGTGTAGAGGTACTCACACTGTCCTTGTATACTGTAGGCTGTACTTCCCTGGTGGACTATAAGGTAGTAGAGTTCCCTCTGTCAGCTTCCTTTCCTGCAGTCTCCAGCCTGGAGGCAGAACCCCCCCCCCCCCCCCCTCGCTGGTGTCCCCTCCCAGGCTACATAGCAGACCCTTTAGTAATCCATGTTCCACCTGACTCCAGACCCCTGCTGAGATGGCCACAGTACCAGAACGTCCTGCCTGGGAATGGTCAGACTCCCATCAATTTGCAGATCCAGGTCTCCACACCTCTGCCCACTAGCTTCTGGAAGGTTCCATGGACCACTAGAATCAGGTGGAGGCATTAGAGGCACAACCTCCCTTGTCATCCAGCCTCAGGCATGCTCACTCCAACTACTGATTAAGCCATTCAATTTTCCTAATTCTGTAGCACCACTAGAGGGTCCTACAGATGTTTGCATATTTTTTATTGCTAGTGTTGCTCAATAGAGTTGGTGAGGTACTGGACATCTGGCACCCCCCTTCTTCCCCACGCACCCCTCATTGCGATGTACTGAACCTATCTGAACTATAGAGCTGTGGGCTACAGATCTGCATTTAGAGTTTGAAGTTGGTGTTTGCATATTGATCCCCGTGAGTTCTGGGGCATTGGATGTACAAAGGAAATACAAAGAAACAAGTTTACGTAAACAGAGCTAGTCACAATTGGGCATATGCAAGAATCGTGCTATTCACTACCAGAATATTCCTATAAGTTATGAATGATCTATAGTTTCCCCATTATTAAACTTTACCTGCTTTGTCTGAAGCCTCATTCACATGAATGTACCAATCCATACACCCATGCAGAAGGTCATCAGCATGGGGTGCACAGCTGTTCCATGCAGCCTCTTGAAGCCAGCTTGTTGAAATCAATAGCATGGACCTGAACGTAGACTCTTTGCAGACAATGATTATCTTCTTCATCTGTGGTCTAGTAGTTGCTGCCCTGCAGATGCTTGACCTCATGCTGATATCACAGTCATCCTTGGTCATCATGTTAAAGTGGCTAAATAGTCAAAACTATTAGATAATTGTTAAAAGCCCTTTTTTTTGTTGTTATTTTGTCTGTATCCCACTCAGGGCTGCTGTTAGAAAACACAGGGTCCCTTACAGCCAACCTGACAGGGCCCCCCAAACCACAGGGCCCCATACAGCCAACCTAACAGGGTCACCCATAAAAAAACAGTTTGCTATGCTTCAGTTATGAATGAACACAGGGAGTGATTGGTGCCAATCACTCCTTGTGTTCATTCAGAAAAGGAAGGGGCTGGTAAACTACTGGAACTGATCCCCTGTATGTCTCTCTCTGCAGCAGCTGAAAGCCAGCTTTCAGCTGCTGCAGAGAGAGCCACACCCCACCGTTTTGGTTTAGATATGTTTTAGCACTTCCACACTCTATTTGAAAAAAAACATTCTCTTACGTTCATTAATGGACACATCGGCTTCTTCTTTAAACTTAATGAAGCAGGGTTTTATAGCCCCACCTACAGGAGTAGGACACTAGGCAGAAAAAAAAGACTTGGCACCTCCTGTGGGCAGTCCTCTCTGGATATAAAACCCCCTCTCTGCTATAGGTCTCCAGTCTTTTCTGCCTAGTGTCTCAGTATGGACGTGAAGTTTTGCTGGGACTTGTGGTCCCACAACTTTTCCATTTCTTTTTTTTCCTGGACTTTTGTGTTCTTGCAGAGATCTTCTATCAACATTCAGGCTAATTTAGATCCAGTGCTTACCCCAGTCTGACCAGCAAGCGCGCACAGACCTCCAGCTCCGCACTCAGTCGACCGTGACTATGCCCCATGGATCAGGGTGGCTAGCGAGTAAAACGCTTCGCGGGGACGCATATGACCGGGAGCTTTTAGTCTGTGTCACAGTGTACCCCTGGCCAACAGCCCCCCCCCCACTTCAATGGAGAGGAGGATGTCACGGGAGCTTCATCCACACACTCCACTGGATTGGTAAGTAGTGTAGTGTCTTGTTCAGGACACGATGTGGTGCGTGGGTGCTCCCTTGGGCTGTGGGGTCCCCTCTCACCCAACACATCCCGCTCACCTCCCTCCCTCCTTCATGCACCAGCGCCCTGGAAAATGCGTGGGCTTAGCCCAGGTACCTCATTCCTGGCTGGACCCTGGTAGTGCGGGCTTCCTCTCCTTCTCTCTGTGGTCTGGGGCTCATATGGGACTGGAGGGGGCCTTTTCCTGCTGTGGGGGGAGGTGTCCATTATGGTTTGCAGGCCTGCCTGGATCAGGGTGTGCAGGGCCACTGCATGTGACTGGGATGACCGGCTGCCATGTTATTGTAGCCGTTGTGACCATTTTCTTGGAGGTTATTGGCCTCTAGCCCCAGACACGGCGGCCATTTTTCTGGAGTTTTTTCGGTCGGTGGCCATTTTGGGGGGGTCTGAGTGGCTATCAAGTATTGGAGGCAAGCTGGGGGAGGTTCTTGGCAGCCATTTTCCTATAACCCACAGCGGGGATTCCCTCAGGCACCTCGGGCTTATGGAGGCAGGGCTCAACACACACGCTGTGCGGGATGGATGTAGGGACACGTGGGCACCTTGCCACCTTGGTAGCTCATGGTGGTGAGTCCTTCCTGGGGGGTCTCTCTCTCTTCTTTCTCCCTACTGGGGTGATCTTCTGTACTGGGAGAGTCCAGGTCCCCTTCCCGCGGCGGTATCTACCTGGGGGGACTGGTCCCATGGAAGCTGAGGAGCATGCTGTAACCCAGAGGTGGCCCCGGGAGCAGCAGGCACCGGGCCCCCGGCGCGAAGCAGCAGGCGTCGGGCCCCCGGGCGGGAGCAGCAGGCGTCGGGCCCCCAGGCGGGGCGACCGGCGTCGGGCCCCCAGGCGAGGCGGCGGGCGCCGGGCCCCCAGGCGGGGCGGCGGGCGCCGGGCCCCCAGGAGGGGCGACAGGCATCGGGCCCCCAGGCGGGGCGACAGGCATCGGGCCCCCAGGCCGACAGGCATCGGCCCCCAGGCGGGGCGACAGGCATCGTGCCCCCAGGCGGGGCGACAGGCATCGTGCCCCCAGGCGGAGCGGCGGGCGCCGGACCCCCAGGCGGAGCGACAGGTCTCGGGCCCTCAGGCGGAGCGGCGGGCGCCGGACCCCCAGATGGAGCGACAGGTCTCGGGCCCTCAGGCGGGAGGAGCGGCGGGCGCCGGACCCCCATGGGCGGAGCGACAGGTCTCGGGCCCTCAGGCGGAGCGGCGGGCGCCGGACCCCCAGGCGGAGCGACAGGTCTCGGGCCCTCAGGCGGAGCGGCGGGCGCCGGACCCCCAGGATGGAGCGACAGGTCTCGGGCCCTCAGGCGGAGCGGCGGGCGCCGGACCCCCAGGCGGAGCGACAGGTCTCGGGCCCTCAGGCGGAGCGGCGGGCGCCGGACCCCCAGGCGGAGCGACAGGTCTCGGGCCCTCAGGCGGAGCGGCGGGCGCCGGACCCCCAGGAGGAGCGACAGGTCTCGGGCCCTCAGGCGGAGCGGCGGGCGCGGGCGCCGGGACCCCCAGGTGGAGCGACAGGTCTCGGGCCCTCAGGCGGGCGGAGCGGCGGGCGCCGGACCCCCAGGGGAGCGACAGGTCTCGGGCCCTCAGGCGGAGCGGCGGGCGCCGGACCCCCCCAGGCGGAGCGACAGGTCTCGGGCCCTCAGGCGGAGCGGCGGGCGCCGGACCCCCAGGCGGAGCGACAGGTCTCGGGCCCTCAGGCGGGAGCGGCGGGCGCCGGACCCCCAGGAGGAGCGACAGGTCTCGGGCCCCTCAGGCGAGCGGAGCGGCGGGCGCCGGACCCCCAGGCGGAGCGACAGGGTCTCGGACCCTCAGGCGGTCGGCGGGCGGGCGCCGGACCCCCACAGGCGGAACGACAGGTCTCAGGCCCCCAGGCGGGGGCGGCGGGCGGGCACCGAGTCACCAGGGCACAACCGTGGGCTCCGAGTCAACTGGGATGACTGCTGGCACTGGGTCAGACATTGGATCGTCTGGCTGGACAGCGGGCATCGGGTCACCAGGCATCAGGGTCATTCATTTGGCTCGACAGCGGGCCCGCGTCATCTGGCAAGGCAGTGGGCTCCGAGTCAACTGGTATGACCGCGCGGGCACTGGGTCAGACATTGGATCGTCTGGCTGGACAGCGGGCACGGGTCACCAGGCATCAGGTCATTTGGCTCGACAGCGGGCACCGCGTCATCTGGCAAGGCAGTGGGCTCCGGGTCAACAGGCAGGCACGGCAGTGAGCACACCCGGGTCATCAGGTACCGGATGTCTGGCTCGACAGCGGGCATCGGGTCACCAGGTATGACAGCGGGCACTGGGTCACCAGGCATCAGGTCATTTGGCTCGACAGCGGGCACAGGGATCAGGTACCGGATCATCTGGATCAACAGCGGGCATCGAGTCAACTGGCTAATAGGACGTCAGGCTGGATCAGGGTCATCATGCTGGGCAGAGGGCATCAGGCTGCTGGATGCGGGCACTCGGGGAGTAGAGGCATCAGGGCGAGTAGAGGCTTCGACAGCGGGCACCGCGTCATCTGGCCAAGTAGGGCTCGAGTCAACTGGCATCAGGCTGGGTCAGATCATTGGATCGTCTGGCTGGACAGCGGGCACTCGGGTCACCAGGCATCGAGGTCATTGGCTCGACAGCATCACCGCGTCAGGCAAGGCAGTAGGGCTTCAGGCCGAGTCAGGTCAGGCACGACAGTGAGCACCGGGTCATCAGGCCGGATTGTCTAGAGGCTTCGACAGCGGGCATCGGGTCACCAGGTATGACAGCGGGCACTGGGTCACCAGGCATCAGGTCATTTGGCTCGACAGCAGGCACCGGATCAGGTACCGAGATCAGGATCAACAGCGGGCATCGAGTCAACTGGCCTAATAGAGGATCGTCAGGCTGGATCAGTTCATCATGCTGGGTAGAGGCATCAGGCTGGCCGGCGTCCGGCTGAGTAGAGGCTTCAGGCCGAGTAGAGGCATCAGGCCGAGTAGAGGCATCAGGCCGAGTAGAGGCATCAGGCCGAGTAGAGGCATCAGGCCGAGTAGAGGCATCAGGCCGAGTAGAGGCATCAGGCCGAGTAGAGGCTTCAGGCCGAGTAGAGGCATCAGGCCGAGTAGAGGCATCAGGCCGAGTAGAGGCATCAGGCCGAGTAGAGGCATCAGGCCGAGTAGAGGCATCAGGCCGAGTAGAGGCTTCAGGCCGAGTAGAGGCTTCAGGCCGAGTAGAGGCTTCAGGCCGAGTAGAGGCATCAGGCCGAGTAGAGGCATCAGGCCGAGTAGAGGCTTCAGGCCGAGTAGAGGCAAGGCTGCATACAGGCATCAGGCTGAAGAGAGGCATCAGGCTGCGTAGGCATCAGGGCATCAGGCTGAGTAGAGGCATCAGGCATCAGGCTGAGTAGAGGCATCAGGCTGAGTAGAGGCATCAGGCTGAGTAGAGGCATCAGGCTGAGTAGAGGCTTCAGGCTGAGTAGAGGCTTCAGGCTGAGTAGAGGCTTCAGGCTGAACCACGGAAGGCAGGCTCACCGGTTTGGATACTGGCAGGATGGTATTGGTTGGAAAGAATTTTCGCTTTTTTCTGGTTTTAACTACTGGAGCACTGCAAGTAAACGCAGGTCTGCAAACGAATGGAGCAGCTGGAGACAGAGAAGAACTGGAGGATGGAACAGGAGAGGGAGCGGTTGCTACAGAGGGCTCTTTTACAGGGTTAAAGGCAGGATAGGTGCAGCGAGTGGGAACAGGGTACTGACATGCGGTAGATAGCAGGGCAGGAGGAGCTGTTGGGAATGCAGGAATAGAGTTTTGAGGAAATAGATTAGAAGCAGGACTGGGTCTTTGTAAGCTGACTGAGGCTGGGTGCAACAAATCTGTCCATGTCTGCAGTATGGGTTGAACAAAGCTGAGCTTACACAAAGCCTGTCTGGTCAATGACTGTACTGCGTTTATACAATCTCTTAGTGTCTGTGGTGAACATGTGGAATAACGCTCCAGAAAGTAACCCACATCATCCTCTAATAACCACACCAGGGACTCTACCTGGTCTGCACTAAATGGTGGCAAAAATTCATCCCTGCATTCGGGGGAACCAGATGAAACCAACTCAGCACAAACCTCAATCAAAGGCTGCACCTCAGAGAACTCTGTGCCCTGATCTACTAGAACATGAGCGAGCCGTATACATTCTAGCAGTTCATCCCGGGTATACTCCTTCAGAGTTTGATAAGCATACTCCCTGTCATCAAACACTAGCAGATATAAATATTCAACCTCATCAAGATCCATCCTTCCCATCAACAAGCCAAGATGGCTTCCCTGTGCAGCCACTTCTGGTCAGGATTGGCCTTGGTGTAATGTCAGGGCTCCCAGGTATGACCAGAGGTGTGTGACTGATGCAGGGAAACGCAGACTTCAGATATGTGATAAACAATACAATTTATTAACACTAACCATACAAACATAAACGCAGTGCAATACTAAACATAATACAGTGCAAACAAACCAAACCAAACCACCCACAGATAACAGTACATACAAGCAAGCGTCGTCAGGCAGGCCGGGTCAATATCAATTGGGCAGGTAGGTACAGGGGGAGCAAGCAGAGAATGGTCGGGGTCACAGGCCAGGTTCAGCAGGTAGCAAGCAGCGTAGTACAGAGGGTCAGGCAGAGGGATGGTCAGGGTCACAAGCCAGAGATCAAAACAGGTAACAAGCAGCGTAGTACAGAGGGTCAGGCAGAGGGACAGAAACAGGATGCAGGACAGATACAGGGCCCAGGACAAACACAACACCAAGGCAGAGTCTGTGGGTCTGGCCATCCCTTAAATACCCCAGCATCATCAGTTCCAGGTGTTAGCTGGCTGAAAGGTTGAGTCTCTGATTGCTGGGAGCACCCGCTGGCCAGCCCTGGTACTGCAGATCAAAAGGCAGGTGAGTCCCACCATTGCTGGCCAGTCCATTCCTAACACCCCCGTAGGTGGCACCAAGTGTCCTTGGCCCCAGAAGTCCTCCAAGCCCATGGATAAGTCTCCCTCAACATGAAGGCTTGCCCCCCACCCGCTTTCAGGGTGGGGGGCGTCTTTACAGGTTTCTGGGCCCGTGGACCTCCCTCATTCATGACAAGTGGGTTCACAAGATCATTCTATCAGGATACAAAATAGAGTTTCATTCCCTTCTGCCGCACAGATTTTTTTTTTCCTCCAGTCTGCAGTTTTCACCAGGTCACCTGCAAGCCCTGTATGGGCTGTGCAGGACTTTCTGCTCCATGGAGTGGCCATCACAGTACCCATTCGGAGTGTTTTTGCGGCTTCTACTCCAACTCGTTCACTGTTCCCAAGGTGGATGAGGTTCGCCCAATCGTGGACCTCAAGACTCTGAACGTCTTCATGCAGGTTCACAAGCAAACAAACTTCTCCTGCATGTGGAGACTTGCTCCTCGCTATTAGACAGTGTGGAGAGCACCATGCTTTCTCTACAGGACTTTGGTTGGATTCTAAACCTCAGGAAGTTGGTGTTGACCAGGGGCGGACTGACCATTTAGCCACTGGGGCACTGCCCGAGGGCCCGGGGTTAGTAGGGGGCCCCATGAGATGCCCCTAGTACCTTTCGTAGGCTTGTTTGTGTGTGGTTTGAGTGTGGGTGAGGACACAGGGGCCCCATGATTTGCTATTGCCCGGGGGCCCCATGAATTGTCAGTCCACCCCTGGTGTTGACTCTGTCTAGGCGCCTGGAGTATTTGGGGCTGATTCTCGATTCAGAGCAGGCCAAGGTGTTCCTTCCATCTGAGAAATTGTTGAAGCTCCAGTCGGCGGCAACTTGCAGGCGGCCCTCTCTGCGTCTTTGTATGCAGGTGTTAGGCTTGATGGTGGCTACCTTTCAAGTGGTTCCGTATGCTCAGTTTCATTCCAGAACACTACAGAGGGAAATCCTATCGAAATGGAACAGGACTTCTGCCTCCTTGGACCTTCAGATTCACCTGGAATGGTCGTCGAGGTCCTCCCTTCTTTGGTGAATGAGGAGAAAGAAAGAAAGAGAAAATGAGAAAGAAAGAGAGGGAGAAAGAGGAAAAAAAAGAGAGAGCTGTAGAAGAAAAGAGAAAAAGAAAGAGGAGAGAGAAGAAAAAAAGAGAGGGAGAGAAAGAGAGAGAAAGAGATGAAAAAGAGCTGTAGAAGGAGAGAAAAAAAGAAAGAGAGAGATAGAAGGAGCCGTAGGAGAGAAAGAAAGGGAGAGAGAGAGAGAGGGAGCAAGAAAGAGAGGGATAAATAGAAAGAAAGAGAGAGAAGGAGGGAGAAAGAAAGAGAGGGAGAGAAAAAGAGAGTGGAGAGAGAGAGGGGGAGAGAGAAAGACAGAATGAGAGAGAAAAAAGAAAGAAAGTGGAAAAAGAGAGAGAAAAAGAGAGGGAGAAAGAGGAAAAAAGAGAGCTGTAGAAGGAAAGAGAAAAAGAGAGAGAGGGAGAAGGAGAGATAGGAAAACAGAGAGGGAGGGAGGGAGAGAGAGAGAGAGAGAGATGAAAAAGAACTGTAGGAGAGAGAAAAAAGAGAGAGAGAGAAGGTGGTGTAGGAGAGAAGGAAAAGGAGAGAGAGAGGGGGGGGGGGGAAGAAGAAAAGAGGGATGAATAGAAAAAGAGAGAGAAGGAAAGAGAGAGAGAAAGAAAGGGAGAAGGAGAGAGAGGGAGAGAAAAAGAGCGGGGGGAGAGAGGGGGGAGAGAAAGACAGAGCAAGAAAGAAAGAGAAAACTGTAGGAGAAAGAGAGAGAGGAAAAAAGAAAGAGAGAGAGAAAGAGCTGTAGAAGTAGTGAGAAAAGGGGAGAAAGAGAGAGGAAAGAAAGAAAGAGAGAAAAATAAAGAAGGAACTGTGGGAGAGAGAGAAAGAGCTGTAGAAAGAGAGAGAGAAGCAGAGAAAGAAAGAGCTGGAGAGGGAGAAATGGAGAGAGAGAGGGGGAGAGAGAGGGAGAGACAGAGAGGGGAGGAAGAAAGAGAGAGATAGAGGTATAAGAGAGAGAGAGTAAGAGAGAGCGGGAGAAAGATGTTGTACGATTGTTCCCCTCACCTGGCAGTCATAGAGAAGGATGAGCTGCCAGGATCCACTCCTCCAGCTACAGCCTCTTCTTAAATGCTTGTCATAGGAGCTATGCTGTGGCCGGATGTCTGCTCTCAGGCTCCTTGGTGATCTTGCTGCAGGCAGACCCAGAGGGAAGTGGGGCGGGGCTGGAGCATGGGGGGAAAATCACCAATCACCCAGGGGGAGAGGAGTGGAGGACAAGTGACAGCTGGGTGGCTATTAACGGAAGAGGAGGGGGGGGAGAACGGCTCCACTGCCCCCCCCCCACTTATAAATGCCACCCTAGCCAAGCGCCTTGTTTTTCCTCGTGGTCAATACACCCCTGACGATGAGTACAAAAAAATCCAGTTTTTGGCTTCAGATAACACTTTAAATCTTAATTTCAAGAATTCAAAAACTTTGACTCCAAATTCCCTGTAAATGAATTAATCTTGTAAGAAGAGTATCTGTAAAATAATTCCTTAAATTTAAGATCAATTTAAAGAATTTTTAAAACAAGAATACTTTTAGTAAGAAAGTCTACTTAACTTTTGGGACAGTGTAGCAGTGACATTGTTAAAGCATATGTCCTCCTGAAATTTATGTTAGTGATAACCGTTTCATTTTCAGCGTAGATTCTTGTCACCAGCACTCCTCGTTCATCTAACACCTTGTTGCTGCTACTACTGCTGTGGGACAGGAAGCGGATATGTACATGTAGTTATCAGGCAGCACATATGACACATCTGTCTGAACTGTTCTTCCTTTGCCCCCTCCTCCACACATCGAGCCCCTTCCAGACGACCATCTCCATCATTTTGTCTGCTAAAGGCATCCGCTCTGAGGGTCTACAAGCACCCAAGTTATGTCTCTGACTATACCTACAGAAGTGGACCTCCAGC